TGGTGATGGTGGGGGTGGTAATGGTGGGGGGGCTGGGTAGGTGGGAGGGGGGTGGGAGTGGTGGTGATGGTGGTGGTGGTGCAGGGTGGTGGTAAAAGCTTTAGACTGGAGGAGCAGCCCTGCGTGTCAGCTAACTGGAAGCTGAGCAACAGGAGGTGGTAGGCTGCAGGAAGGGCTGAGGCCAGGGAAGTAAAGAGGGAGGTGATGCACGAGGGTCGGAGAGATGAGGAGTAGCCTTCCTCAGATGATGTTGGGGAAGGAGTGCTGGGTTAGGACTGAGGGCTTCCTGGACAAGACCCCGGGTGACACTTCTGCCCCAAACCACTGAGAGCGTCGAAGAGCTTCCAGCCCAGCTACCTGCTCTGTGATGTAGGGCATCCAAATTTTGACTCAAACCTTAGAAACAGGCTTTCTCCAATCCTAGGGAGAGTCTGCAGGGACACTTCCTGCCTTTCAGGGTAAAAGACCCAGAATTCCACTGGTCCAGCTCCTTCTGGCTCAAATAGGGAGCATTCTTAATGCCTCTAGCAGCTGCAGTCTAGCTGGTTTTGCCCCAAGGACTCCCTTGAGGCAGAGCTCAGAGGTGGAGGCAGGAGAGGGAGCCAGAGCACACACAGGTCATGAGTCTGGCTGCCTTTAGGTGGACGACGGGTCTGCATATGGCATGCCCAAAGATGCTTGGACATCCCATTTGGAAGGTCCCCAGGGAATCCACTTCATTGCTGGAATAATGGGGCCGGTCCGATGTGGTTAATCCCTGGTAAGGAGAGTCCCTCGCAAATGTCCCCAGCGGCAGCCTTGAACTGGCCTGGCCCCTGCATTCACCTCTTCTTCCTTGTCCGCAGTCACCAGTTAAGGAGTGTCACACTGTGCAGCTCTGGCCTGGTGGCTGGGCTGCCCCCCGCCCCCCGGGTTCCACACTAGTCTCCCAGCTTGTCTCTGCATGTGCTCCCCTCTGTACCTCTGTATCTCTGTACCTCTGCTTATCCTGTGCCCTGGGAATAAATGTCCCTTCCCACCCCTAGGAATTCTACCTGCAAGGACCTGCGAATTGCCAGTCCTCCAAAGTGCCTGTATCACCTGCAGCCCCTTCCCATTTCCTGGGGAACCTCCCCAAGAGCAGGGGATGAGCTGCATGGGCGACCCAGGCAAAGACCAGCTCTGCTGCTCGGTCCCCTTCTTGCCTGGAGGTGACAGTTCACAGCCTCTGTTCCTGCTGCCGAGGCTGCTTCCTTAGAAGGACAGGGAATTTGGGCCTTTCTGGAGAAAAGATCTGAGTGTACAGCAGAACAGAGGCCTTGAAACCCACACGGGGAGTTTCCAAAACGCTGCTCAGTCTGTGTCCCCGGCAACAGAATTGTTGACTGCAGCATAACCATACCTTCCTGTGTTCTAGCCCAGAGCATCATGGGCTGGCCTCTGCCGAAAGATGCTCGGCAGGAGCCCCTGGGAAGAGGGTACAGGGGGCCTGGAAGGGGTGTGCAGTGGGGCTTGGAGAAACCCAAGGGGGCAGATCAGCAGTCTGCTCCCTCCCACCGCCTCCTCAAGCAGGACTCCTGTCCTCCAGGTTACAGCTTCCTGCCACCTCCCCACCCCCCACCCCCAGTTCTCAGACTAGCCCAGCCTTGGCTGAGACACCACTAGGCATGGGCGCTCTTCTCTGTGGCCAGAAGAGCGTGCACCCTCCCCTGCCAGTCTCTCTGAAGCACGGGAAGCCTGGCCTGAGGAGCAAGGGCCCAGCCAGACAAGCTGAAGGCGAAGCCCCTGCTCAGCTGTGGCAGCAGCTGTGGGGGACTCCAAGGGAAGCAGACAGCTGCTGGGATGAGGCCTACCAGAGGAAGCCCGGTCTGTGCCAGTTCTGCCATCTTTAGTAGGCTCCTGGAGACAGTCTAGACTTCCCTCTACAGAGGACAAAGTTGAGGCCCCGAGAGCATTATGAGAGGCCCCCAGGTCACACAATGAAGCAGCGGTGAGGATCCTGCCCACAAGGAAGTTCAGCCGAAGTAGCGGAAAGCCCAGGCCGCAGACCCTTAGCCTCACAGCCTCCTGCAGGGGAGAGGGGAGGAGAACGCCTGGACTTTTTCCTTTTGATCTCAGGTGTGTCTCTGCACGGCAGTCCAGGGATTAACATGAGGCCAGGCTTGACAGCGCGAGAGGGGTGAGGTGGCCTGGGGTGTGACTGCAAACTGCCTCTGGCCACTTGTGGGCCCCAAACTCTTGTCGGAGTCAAAGCCGAGGCACCCGCAGGCCTCCGCAGGCCTCCACCGCCCCGCCCCGCCTGAATGCAGCACAGCGGGAGGCTTCCGCCCCGGAAGGCCTCAGTCGGGAAGACTGACCAAATTCAGTGATGCGTGGCCTTGGGGCAGGATAGGAAGAAAACGAGCCAGACATGGGAAGGGAAAGGGGCTGAGAGCCCAGAGTTCCAGCACAAATTCCTGGTGGAGCTGGGATGTGGCTCAGTAGAGTGCCCGCTAGAGTGCCATGCGTTCAAAACACCCGTACACACAAAAGTAAGTAAAAATTAGAGAGTAAAAACAAACACCCAAACCAGCCATGGTGGCTTACACCTTATCTGTGGGATTGTGGGATACCCCAGGTTACACAGCATTGTGGGATACCCTAAGTTACACAGCATTGTGGGATACCCTAAGTTATACAGCAAAGCAGCGGTGTTCCCTTTTATTTTGTGATAGGGTCTCACTAACACCCATGAACTCTGGTAGCCCAGGCTAGCCTCAAAACTGAAACCTCCTTGTCTCAACCTCCCAAGTAGCTGGGATGCCAGGCCTGAGCCACTAGACCTGATTATTTTCCTCAATAAACCCTGACTTCGCTTCAGAGTGACTTGTCCTGAAATTCTTTCCTGGGCACCGAGGTGACAGCCTCAGGCTGTGGTGAAAGTTCCATGTAAGTTTCTACAAACTGTGTCCGGGGCCTGAGAATACCGATCAGGGTTCCAGGGCAGCCTAGAGTGCGGGGCTCCTATACAGGTGGGCATTGCCATCTCTCAGTCTCTTTATTCCACCATAGCAGAGGCAAGGTGCCCCATTCAGGGAGCTGGGCCTTTCAGTCCACTGAAGCACACACAGCTCCACATGACTAAAGCCCCACTTGGCCTAGCCCCCTGGGGTCAGGGCCAGCCTGGGAAAGACGTGAGGACACAATCTCTCAGCCTCACCTAAGCCTCTGGCTTCCTCAGAATAGGATGGAGTTAGGCCTTTTCTTTTTGGTTTTTTCGAGACAGGGTTTCTCTGTGTAGCTTTGCGCCTTTCCTGGAACTCACTCGGTAGTCCAGGCTGGCCTCGAACTCACAGAGATCCGCCTGGCCCTGCCTCCCGAGTGCTGGGATTAAAGGCGTGCGCCATCACCACCCGGCTAGAGTTAGGCCTTTTCTACAGCACTGCTCACCCTCTCGTGCACCTTCTGGAGCCCACAGTCCCGCTGGCACAGACCCTGAGAGCTGGTTGGCCCTCCACCTTGCCTCTAGGACACCGCATGAAGGAAGTTCACCAGTGCTGGACAAGGGATGAAGGGAGCTGAGGCTGAGGCCCTGGGTTCTGCTAATAGAGGAACCGAGAGACGGTCCCTTTGAAAAGAGAAGTATGTCATCGCCATGGCCCCAGACGCACAGACTCCCACCTCTGTCCTGAGTGGAGTGCCCATTCTCTGGAAAGCCGCAAACATTCCCAAGCTGGACTTCTACTGAATTATCTCAAATTTCTTTGAATTTTTCTAGTCTGGAAGGATTGAAGGAGGGGACAGGAGGCGGGGAATGACCTCCAGGGAGGTTAAATAGGTCACCTCAACGCTGGGCACCAAGACAAGCAGAGGGGCCCATGAAGATCTTCACCCACACTTCTGGCACCATGATGTCACTTCGGATACTGCTCCTGGCTGCCCTGCTTCTGGGGACGTCTCTGCAGCATGCCAGCGCTGGTGAGAGCTGGGCACAGACAGGAGAGGAGGGCAGGGAAGGAGCCCCTCCACCACACACACCAGCAGCAGAAACACAAGCTGTGCGCTTTATACCCTGTCTGTTCTTACAGAGGTCACAAGGGCTGGAAAGAACACTGGGTGGGGTGAGGGGATGGCGCTGGGGATGGTGGGGATGGTGTTGACGATGTCAGGCACCTGACCTGGACACCTGCCTGGTGAAGAGCCATGGGCAGCATGTTATCCTGAGATGTGAGGACATAGTGGCTTTGATTGTGGGCGTATGATGCAGAATGAAGGACGCTCAGATTTGCTACCATTTGCTTCATTAATGGGCTTCAGGCATCATCAGGAAACAACATAAAGACGGAGAATTGGTTCCAAGAACGTATGAAAGGAGACTTTTATATTTAGGTTAGAAAGGGAAGTTGAAATAAGGTTCCAAGATACAGGCAGCTGGGATGCCATCACACACAGATGAATATACAAACATGCAAACACAAAGAGCCTACACATGCACAGACACCCCACCACCTACCATGGTAACACACACACATAAACACACCAGGAAAAACCAGCATACAGACAAAGAAAAGCACGCGCAGTTATCGTCCATAGGTTCCCACAGCCACACATGGGGGTGCTCCATGGGTCCCCAGGCACATGCGCAGACCCTTCGGACACCTGTTTCCTATTGCTCTTCTAGCTCGAGCCACCAACGTAGGCCGAGAGTGCTGCCTGGAGTACTTCAAGGGGGCCATCCCCATCAGGAGGCTGGTGACATGGTACAGGACCTCAGCCGAGTGTCCCAGGGACGCTATTGTGTGAGTGCCCCCCTGTCCCACTCTTACACCTCGGTCCCAGAGTGGCAAGTGGGTGGGCCTTGGGAAAGAGGGAAGAGAATACAGCCTTCTTCCCCTGAGCCAGCAGCTCTGGGCACTCGGGGGAGCTCTTCTACCCCACACAGTTGAGAGGGGTTCAGTCTCTTCATTTATCTATGGTGAAATTGAGGCCCCAGGATGGATAGACATTCCAGGTGACAGAGCCAGTAAGCAGCCGTACAGTCACCTCTACTTACCGGGCTTAGGTGCTCTGAGGGGCCAGGCATGAAGCCCTGCAGCCCTGGCCCTCAGGAGGCTGGAATGGAGTCAGGACCCCAGTAGGAAAGACTTGCTAATGGCATATGTGACTTCATCCAGTTCTGGCCCAGGCAAGTTCAGGTTCAAGATCAAGGCAAGTGTGGCTGGTTGCAGAGCTCCAGAAAGCCTTGCCGTCTTCACACCCACTGGCTTCTCCTGTGTAGGTTTGTGACTGTCCAGGGCAGGTTCATCTGTTCAGACCCCAAAGACAAGCATGTGAAGAAGGCCATCAGACACCTGCAAAGCCTAAGGCAGTAGCCGGTGACCTTCCCCCAGGAGCATTTGGAGACTCCAGCTCCGGCGTCCATGACCTCAGCCCAAAGCTGCCTGCATCCAGTGGAGGCCTTAAGAGCCCCAGAAGAGCCACAGAGTGGGAGTCGCTGTCCCTTTGTATGGACTCAAGCTACAGGCACAAAACACCGCTGATTAAAGTCCTCTTCCCTTAGTCTGGGTCAGTGTGTTCTGTCCCCACAGTGCAGAACCCCTTCCACCGTGGCTGATCACACTGGAAGGGTCCTCATAGGACAGCTGGTCCCACTCTGCCCAAGTCAGAAAGGTTAGCTGAGGCCGAGGGAGAGACGCGATCCCATTCCAGTAAGAGATGGAACTGTGGAGACATGGGGCAGGGACCGGGCAAACCAGAGGTAGACACAACACAGCAGGACCCTCCCAAGTGCCCCTCCTCCCTCTGTATTCCATAGAAAGTGTCCAAGAGAGTCCCAAGGAGGGCCTGTCTTCTCTGCACCCCAGGTCTCCCAGTCACCCCAAGACTACCCCCTATAATCGGCCCTCGTGAACCTGGAGTTATTTATCCTTCCTGTTCTGGACTCTGTTGCAAACAGATCCGGACCTTCTGCGTGTGTTTGTCCTCCGGAAGCCCCTGTCCCTTCTCCTTCACTTCTGAGTCCCCTCCCCACAGCCTGTCTGGCTCTGGAAAATCGTCAACCATCCCCTTCCCCTGCCTCAGCTGCCTCTCTACCGGAAACTTAGTCTACAGCTAAGCTGCTTCATGGGGCCCTGGGTCCTCTGGGTTTCCAGCATCCTGATCACCTACTTCCTGATCACCCCACCTACTTCCTCTCCTTTGCCCCCAGCTCCAGCTGGCCCCTGGCTCCTGGCCCCTGACCCCTGGTCTCTCCTGAGTCCCCTCTGTACACAGGGAGCATGGCACCGATGCTGACCTCACAGTCCATGGAATTTCCTCCCAAGCTCTTAGGGACTGTCTCGCCACTGGCCTCTGCTGCTGCTGGTTCTCCAACTGTGCCGGTGTGTGCTTGTAGACCTGGCTCTGCTGTCCCACTGGGGGGCTCTATGGGCTCTCTTAGACCACCCTGAGCCACTGAAAGATTGGCACAGGAGTCTGTCCAGTTCTAGCTCAGAGCTGGAGTGTTAAACTCTGGTATTCCAGGTCAACTTTGCCTACCCAGCATTCCTTTCTTTCAGGGTCAGGTTGTAGCACAGGCAAGGGTTTTGGACTCTGCCAGGTTGTAGGTAGTCTGTCCTGTCTGAGTTGCAATAGTGTTACCTCGGGGAAGATTTTTAACCTGTCACTGCCACCTTGTGGCCAGTTATGGCCTTGCAGAACAAACGCCAACTGTCCTGGATGGGGTGGGAATAAGACAACACATTCACAATCAGGAGGCTGGTGGACATGACATGGCTTCTCTGTGAACCCAGAGTTCCCTCTACCACAGTGGGCTTCTCTTCCTTGAGGACCAGGAGTGTCCCTCCAACAACTGCTTAAGATTCTGAGTCCCGAGGCAACCTTAGCTTAGTCTTTGTGAAAAAAAAAAAAATGGCCTCTGGATCCAGGGGCTAGAGAAAGGATGAGCAGTGGGGTGTGAGAAGGCCAAGAGGAGCCCCTACTGAAGAAGAAAGAGCAAAGGCTGGGGCCTGAAGGCCCGAATCCTGTGTTCCAGAACCAGGGTGCCCTCAGAATATGCTGGCTCCTGCTTGCTCAGTCTTTCTTTGCTGTTGGAGTCTTCTAGAGACAACCCTTGGGTAAACTCAGATGGGCAGAACAGACCGCAGGGCCTGTGAGAGGAGGCAGGTTTCCTGTGGGCCCTGGGGGAGTAAAGGGCTGTCTCAGGGCCACTGGGCAGGGAATGTGCGGGGCCACAAAAGACAACAAAATGCAGACTTCTGACCCCAAGTGATCGGAAGCAGGAGGTGTGTGGGAATGTCCACCACATTCCTGGGGCATTTTGAGGAACGGTGGCTTGGAGACTCTCATAACTAACGAGAGAGGAACAGGGATGGGAAGGATGGGTGGACAGCGAGGAGGAATACAAGGCGGACTTTGCTCCTTCTGTCTTGAAAGTGCCTCCCCTGTCCATTTCTGAAATACTTTCTGTGATCAGTGCCAGCACCACCACCCCCATGGGGCCTTTCAAAGTCTCCTTAGTTTTGTAGGACACCCCCCTACATAAACATGCCTAATCTTGGCCAAATGTCACCTGTCACTTGGGAGAGAGACTTAGATTCCCCCAATAAGTTTATAGTCTCTAATAGCTTGGGTCAGCTAACCCAGTAAATGGATTGTTCATATACTGGACATTCGATAATATATTTTGCCAACTGTGGCTGATTGGATTCCTAAAGGAACACCTTTGGGGAAAGAAATTTCCAGAGACTCGCTTGCACTGGGACTCGAAGCCCCACTGAAGATGTGGAAATTGAAATTGGGCAGTTCTCTGATCTCCCAGTAGGGGGCGCGCCGGCACAGTGCTAGTGGACCGAGATTGACAAGGGGAACATCCTGGCCTCAGAATGAAGCTACAGGCCTTAGGCAGGGGTGACTGTGGCTGGTTGGATGGTCCCCTGGGGGAGCGGAGGCCATGAAACTACCAAATACACAACCAGAGTGAGCAGGAATGGGGGGGGGGGGCTTTACAGGGACTTGGAAGGCCACCAAGAACACTGAATCAATCTTCTATTCCCTTCATCTGTAACTGTCAACCATTTATCACAAGGCCACAAGCACCAGGCAGTGTTTGAGTTTCCGTGATCCAACTTTTACGAGTTTTTAAAAATCATTATAAGCTAAGCCTGATGGCTTAGCTTGTAATCCCAGCACCTGGGAGGTGAAGGCAAGAGGATCAGGAGTTCAAGGCCAGCTTCCGTAACATAGTAAGTTTGAGGATAGCCTTGGAGTGTATGAGAGCCTATCTCCAAAAACAAAACAAAACAAAAAAGGCATTATAAAGCCAGAGGTGCTGCGGGCCACAGAAATATGGAGCAGGAATTCGGCTGACTATAGCAAAGGCTAATACTTGGGAAAAGCAGGGCTCTTCCAGAGAAAAAAAGCCAACCCTCAAGGAGTCTTGGTGATATTAGCTTTTAGATATGTATTAGCCAGGTCCTGCAATGATTTTCTGTGTGCTATGGTAGCTTTCCCAACTGGTTCTTCTTCTAAGAACTTCTAACAGTGTGTTTTATCAGAGTTAACCTCTCAAACATCCAAAGACAAATGGCAGGCAGAAATAGCATTCCAGACCACTTGCCGGTCTCCTGAATTAAGGTAAATATCCATACAGAGATACCACCTAGGCCAGTAGGACAAGGTGGATGTTAGGTACAAATCTTTGCTTCTTGTGCAAATTAAGCTTAACCCTTTCTTCCATAGCCCAAATGGTATCTCTAGACCTCCCCTTATAACATCTTAACTAAGAACAAAAGAGCTTTCAGATACCAGGTGCATCAAGCTATGGCACAGGCTTCCTAGCTACCGAGCAGACTCACCCTGTCCAAGCGGAAAGCGGCAGGGCAGAGTATGGCTGACGGTAGATGTGGGGCCACGGATCACGGGAAGAGAAGAAGGAGGAAAGAAGATGGAGACATGAACGAAGACGAAGATGAGAACGAGATGGAAAGAACTTAGAACTAGGAGAGGACAGGAGGAGAGGGGACGGAGAGGAGCTAAGTATGAGAACAGAATTGAAGCTGTGTAGACAGAATTTTGTATAAGAAGAATAAAATGAATGGACTAAAGAGTTTCATGTAAGTAGATTCATTTGATATACCTCAGATATCCAGCCACTCAGAGCATCTTCCCTGGGACTCTGGGAGAAATCTACTCAGGGCAGGCATCTGAGGGGCTTTTGATACAGGGGCAGATCCCAATTGTTGGGATTAAAGGCATGTGCCACAACTACCAGGCTCTGAGATCTTTCCAAAGACCTCCATTAACTTTTCCACAAAAAAAAAAAAAAAAAAAGCCTTTCAAAACAAGTCAGTATGAAGCAGATTTGGTATTTATTAAGAAGTGGTTTCTCCAGGCGTTGGTGGTGCACACCTTTAATCCCAGCACTTGGGAGGCAGAGGCAGGTGGATCTCTGAGTTTGAGGCCAGCCTGGTCTACAGAGCACGAGATCCAGGAAAGGCACAAAGCTACATAGAGAAATCCTGTCTCAAAAAACCAAAAAAAAAAGAACATTAAAAAAAGTGGTTTGGTGATTAAAAGCACTGGCTGCTCTTCCAAAGGACCCCAGGTTGATTCCCAGCACCCACACAGCAGCTCACAGCTGTCTGTAACTCCTGTTAGAATTCCTGACTACTCCCCCAGCTACATGACCACACATGCACTGTCCAGTAGCCAAGCAAGAGGCTTAGTCATCCCAGGGCCTTACGTCCTACGTAATCCGTGCACTTCATGACCACGTAATTTGATCGCAGTGTGATCACACAATCTATGCGCATGCATGGCATAGCTAGGTAAGCCCATATGCGCATGTGCAGGAGGGCCCTATAAAAAGTGGGTCCCACATACCCCTCCTCCCTCTTCCTGCACAATCATTCCCATAGGCCTAAGCACCCCCTTCTGTTCCCTTCCCTTAATAAACTTATAGTGGGTTTTGTTGTACCTCATGGCTTTTCTCGAATGGTAAACAACACCACTTAATGAATAACATTGTGCTGCTTAATAAATAACAACTCCAGTACCAGGCGATCAGATGACTTCTTCTGGCCTCCAAAGGTACCAGGCATGCATATGGTACCCAGACACACATGCATACAAAACACCCATACAGATAAAATACATTTTCCGAAGGTATTTTAACATAGATTTAAGCATGGGAATTTAGGGGGAAAGAAAGGCTCTTAGGGAACGGGCAGGACGCACTGGAAACGTGGTGTGAATGTGTCCAGAGTTAGCAAGAGCCCTGCGGGTACAGCTTTAGGGACTTCTGAAGTCCAACTCTCAAGGGGGTTCCAGGGTTCTCCCTCTCCTCCTTCTCCCTCTCTCCTCTCCTCCCTCCCTCCTTTTAGACTGGGTGTTACTATGTAGCCCTGGCTGACCTAGAACTCAGAGATCTACTTGCCTATGCCTTTGGAGTACCAGGATTAAAGGCATGTGCCACCATGTTCAGCTAGGAAAATTTCAAAATGAGATCATAGGGTGGTTTGTAGGGCGCACTGGAGATAGTCTAGGCTGAGGAGATAAAG